TTGATAAATGTTTGAGTCGAGTTCAATTATCAAGTGTTTGAACTTGACTCGACTCGATTAATAACACTAGTTTTTACCATGAGTTTATACTTTCTCTTAGTGAAAGGGAAACAGATTTTGTTGCACAGCAAATCGCTTTTTTCGGTTCTCTCTCCACTTTTCTACCCTGAAGAACAAAGGAGTTGATTCAGAGTATCTTTTCCCAGATCAAATGCTGGAATTTCATTAGCCTGCCTTCGTAGCCACCAAAGCTAAGGAAATTAACTCTGGCAATAAGCTATCTGAAATTTAACCAATCAGTTTATGGATCAATGTTTGTTTCGACAGTTACAAAAGCATTCAAGGTTTCTTTTTCTGTTTAGATAGTACTTTAAGAACATGCTGAAATGGATATTGCTATATCAATTTTGTTTCAGTTTGTCCGAACAGACTCAAAAAGTTCCGTAACCATTGGTTAATTATCCCATTAAACCCTTAATCTTTTCAAAGGGGTATAAGATTAACTTTAAGCCTATTGATTGAATCCTCTATAATTTAGTGTTGAGTCAATTAAATCCTTTCAATGGTCTTAAAATTTGAACAATAATTAGAAAATCGACCCACAATAAATAACGAATGGATTTACCTCATAAACTTTTTAATTAAGGTACAACAACAGTATATGGATTAAAAAAGCTTCCTTTATCACTAAAGTAAGTAAATAACAATTTTAAATTGTAATCAGAGAAAGACAAGTTGAATCAAATATTTGCAAAGACAGGTTTTGCTACCCCAAATCAATCACCAACAGGCTAATAAATTTACAATAAAAAAAACTTAGAAAGTGCCGTCTTGATTATTTAAAGAGGATTTAAATGTGGTATGATATCTATCTTCTATGATCTTTTAGCTCAGATGAAAAAGTTAAAAATACTTATATGGCTGTTAATAAATTTATAGAGCATAATGGGTTCCAAAACTAAGAATTGGCTAGACCTCACTGATTTGTCCTCACAAAGTTTGACAATTACATTGCACATGTTGATAATTTGAGAGCTTTCATAGCAATTTACCAAAATCCTTATACATGTAATTTAACAGGTCAAAACAGACTTAATGTCATTATCTTGCAGATCTGCCTGGAAATTTACTCAGGGCAGATAACATATGATAATATGTATGCCAGTCATTGTATGGGTACTCTCTCTCTCTCTCAAAACTTCTCTGTATCGTTCCAATTTTATCGGATGTCCCAGAAGGAACATGTCTTCCTCCAAAACATGATTATAATAATAATATGACACTTAGATTATTAATGGGTTGCAATGTAGGGTTAGAATTACTCATGCATGTTTTTGTCAAGCCCTATTGTTCACCCCACTCAAGGGAAATTTTTTCTTTAAAAAAAATTAAAGTTCTGTTTCGAATCGAGATATTCACCAGCTGTCTCTCGTTTCCATTCTTGGAAACAACTAAGAAGTTTCTTTCTCTGTTGCCTGAATGGTGGAATTTATGTAGTGTTTGTTCAAGTCGCCCTGTTGAAGCCGCAAGCAAAATATTTTGGAAGCAAGAGTAACGTTAACAATATGAAGCCATAGAGATTAAATTTGTACTTGAACTCTGGAGAAAATTTGTCAAGAGACTCGAGACATAGGTGTTTTACTCGGAAATTTACATAGTTAGTTGGGTAGCCATGAATGGAAAAACTGGTACTATAGATTCTATGTATAGACGTTAAATTGATTCATTCTAGAATGGTATACTGATTTAGTCTATGTTTACGGTAATTGAAATTAATCATATCATTTTCGTTTCCAAATTTTACGTTTTCTGGCCATTTTCTTCAACTATAACTTTGTGCCCTTTTTGGTTAATACTTTATTATACTTGGCGGTCCAAATAGTGTTACTGTTGTTTGATTATTTCCCATTGAAAAACTCAAAATTTTAATTCACCGGAAAGCTTTTGATAAAGAAGGCAACAACTAAAATTAACAATATCAAGGTAATTTTGATCTAGTGGTTAAAGTTAAAATCTTAGAATTTAGAGTTTTTGGGTTTTAATTTCTCTTTCATCCTTCCCGCTTCTCATGTTCCATCACTCCCACGCTAAAAAAAATATTTTAAAAGTATATATTAAACAAAGAAAATTAGCATTGGTTTCTTAACAAATCTTAAGTCAACTAGAAGAATTCCTGATGAGATATGGATCAGATTAAATATAGACTTTTGTCCTTTTTCCCTTTATTAATCTGTTGACCTCAAAGGTGACAAGAGGACCCTAAAGAACTCCATTTTCTTCTCCAAGACCATCTTCTTTCTCTGGTAATACAGATTTTTATGGACAAATACACGTCTCCCTAACACATGGGTAGAACCATTAGCTTAGGTAAGCAACATGATTAAGTTCCTAATTGCTGATCAAGGACAGTTGATTGTATAAATGGATGGTGGAGACATGAACTTTTTTTTCAATCATATTTGAAACGAGTTTCAAAGATGAAAGCGTATGGTAGATAAATCTACCATTCGAAAAAGTTATCATCCAATATGGCTAAATCCTGATTAAATATTGTTATGGATTTATTATTATTATTATTATCATCATCATCATCATCATCATCATCATCATCCAATAGGATCATGGTTCATTTTCTGTGCGTGTTATTTTTCTTTTCTTCTTTTTGGTAGAGTTACACGTACTCATATTTATTATTGGAGCATCATATTGAAATTCATATCGTGTTTCCAGTATTGCTTGTCCTTAAGCCAGGAAAATCATTCTTTGGCAGTGAGGTGTGAGCAAAGTGGCTTAATTATCTTTGCCAAAACATAAGAATGCCTATACTTGCCAAAATATAAGAATGCCTATACTTGCTAAATAGCACAACTTTTTTGCATCTTTCCCACACCATTTTCACATATGTCTAGTGTATTTTGTGCTTCATTGGAATTTTTTTTTTTTTTTAAAAAAGGGTCAAGGTTGAGAGATCAAAGCTGCCTAGTGTCACCTCAGCTAACTAAAAAGCATTGGACCAGAAGATGGGCATTTATTGAGAACACAAGAAATTGCTACCATCCTAGTTTTCCCCATACGTATATGAATTATTGTAGCATGCAGGCGGACGATGAGTTAACAAGACAAATACATACATTTGCATCAGTCAGACAACACAAACACAAAACTCCTCGACTTATCAAAATTGGATCCAGCCTACACCAGTTACAATTTCTATAGCAATTTTTTTTATTCTTCTACTGTTTTTATTTTTTCTTAAATAGTTGAAGGAATTATTTATAGGCTTCAAGATTGGGCCCTTTTTAAGGTCATTTGTTTTCATGCTTTTCTCTCCTTGTTGTCTAATATGTTTTTGTCCTCTCCCCCCCCCCTCCCCCCCACAAAAAAAAATAAAATCTGATTCTTTACCATATTGGCACCCAAAAAGCAGTCCATATAAGAAGCTAGCTATGGCCTCTGCCCTCCTACCTTTTTTTTTCCTTTAATTCCCTTGCAAAACATGTTTAGAATTTCTACGGCCACATCCTTGCTTCAATAAGAGTGAAGAAGTCTGCCAAGTTTACCAACTTTTATCAAAAGTGCAAGGTCATAAGGAGTTTTGACAGTAAAACAATGGAGGAAGACTTCAGAAGTCATCGAAGAAATTTCGAACCAAAATCATTATGCGCATATGATAATCTGCTGACACCGATAGGCACGAGGAATTATTCGGCAGATTTCTTGAATATAATTGCTCAAAAATCAAAATCAAATCTTTTTAGATAACGCAACTGGGAATCTAGCTATTGTCTTTTTCTTGCATACGATTGTAAAGGAAACTTTGATGCAGCTAGATTATGCATCTGAATATTCCCGTCTCAAATAATAAATGGCAATCTTATCCTGTTAAATACATTACTATGGTACTAGACATGAGATGATTAAATGTTTTATTTATGGATTGCTGTGTCCTAGAAAAACAAATGTCCCTGGATAGAAATTGACCTAATGAAATTGTAATGCAACCATGCACTATATGTCATGGTCAACGTCATCAACTCTGATCATTAGTCAATTGTTTCTAGCTAGAAGTTTTTACTCTTTTTTTTTTTTGTACCGAGAACAATCTAATTTCATCGAGTTTGTTTGAGATTATACGCATGCATTTATTCTCGTTTATTTGTTGCATGAGTTAATTATGCTCAAGCTGAGTTTCAAATGAACCACTAGTTATGGGATTAGTAGTCAGGGAGTTGAACTCCTGCCTGATAGATTTTGATAGATCAGGATTTAAATCCTGACCGGCAAGTTTAGGGTAGGAAGGAAACAGAGGAGTAGGAGGAGGTAAAAAAAATTGAGTTTCAAACGGTCAATATTGAGATATATATTTTGTTCACCTTGAATCTTAGCACCTAAGGAGTACTAAGGACTACAAGAGCTCTAAAAGGTCGAGAAAACATGATGTCTTAAGTGAAATCCTAATCACAAGCGTGTGCTAATGAAACTGAATTCTTTAGGATGAAACGCAATGGATCAAGAGCTTAAACCGGAATAGCAATATCTTAACAGTCAATCAGTTGCCCTAAAAAAAGTTGATAAATCAAAAGAAAAGAGGGTTTTTACATTTTGCCCGAATTGATTCTCAGCATTTTTATGTTTCTCCACCCTTTTTTTGGCTTTAACAGTGGAGAATGTTCTATGTTAAACGAAAGCAACTTGATGTCAAAAGGCTAAGAAACTTCCTACGTAACTAATTGCCTGTTTTGGGGTGAACTTCCAATTTGATGAAAGCAACAGGTATACCAAGCAAGAAAGCGTGCTTACTCTGTCAAGAGCGAATACAGCCAACAATTAAATGACGACCATTACAACAGGATAATTGGTGATCTCGCCAGGATACGATTTTACGATTTCACACTATAGATTTCACCCTCTCTCTCTCTCTATATATATATATATATTCTCTTCCATCCTATGTGGAATGAGGTTCATCGCACTATCTTCCTGATCAGTCTCATATATCAATGGAAGGCATCAATGTTCTCCCGCCAGGTTTCAGATTTCACCCCACTGATGAGGAGCTCATCAATTATTACCTCAAGAACAAAGTCTCTTCTGCCACAAATCCCTTAGTTTCCATCATAGCTGAAATTGATCTCTACAAGTTCAATCCTTGGGACCTTCCCGGTACTTCCTGAATCCTAACCTTCCATTTTTTTGTATTCCTAAATTCATATCTGCTTAAGAGTTGGTAAAAGATCATTATCATGTCATGCATGGCTTATTGATACCATACACTATTTCTTTGAAACGCAGACAAAGCCTTGTTTGGTGAAAGTGAATGGTTTTTCTTCAGCCCCCGAGATAGGAAATACCCCAACGGGGCTCGTCCGAATCGATCAGCTGCATCCGGCTACTGGAAAGCCACAGGAACTGATAAACCTATCCTTTCTTATGCGTCACAGTGCATTGGGGTGAAGAAAGCTCTGGTATTCTACAAAGGTCGTGCTCCAAATGGCACGAAGACTAACTGGATGATGCATGAATATAGGCTTCTCAATGATAGCCATCATTCTTTAGTGCAGAAAGGATCGATGAGAGTAAGTTCATTGGATTACTACTCCTATCTCCTCGTGGATTTTCTGAGAAATAAAAAACGAATACAAATCGTGATTTGTAGAAGTTTGAACTGGAAAATGTAAAAGGCACCGTAAGGTATTAGACATTTGTGAAATGGAGTCAAGTAATCATCCCGTGAAAAGAAAACAACTCGGACAAGTTCAGCATTCTTCTACACATAATTAGATCATTTGGTTGATTAATCATTCAAAGGTTTGAAAGCGAATATGGACCTGACAGACAGCTGTTTCAAAACATTGATTCTTTGTCTAGTTTGGTTAACCCTTTAGGAATGCACGAAGTAATGATAATTATTAGATTCACCAAAATCCAAAGCAATGTCTTTCCTCGCGTTTCTCTCCTCAACTTCTGCCTACTAGTATTAGAGCACCTGCGTCACATGTGGGAGGTATTGTGGTTTGTGATGCATAATCAAACAACATTTTTATTTAGATCGATTAGAAAATGTTTTAAGTATTTTAATTACTTTATATTCTATAATCTAGCCTCAAAACATAAAACAAAATTAAACTATTTAGAAGATTTTACTTCTCCTTAAATAATGAATATATACTTGGATAGTAATATACTAGTATAGATTAAGTCCAGTAAAGTCAAGAAGGAGAATGGAACGCCTGCTTCCCACCGATAGGTGGAAAAAGTCTGATGATTGGCATCATGGTAACAAAAGATCATTTGGTCTGATAATTTTTGTCAGGTGATTTACCTCCAAGAGTTATCAGTTTTTGAGATTCATGTTTGACGTTCATATTACCTTTTGATTAATGCAGCTGGATGACTGGGTATTATGCCGTGTTCGGCAGAAGAGCAATAATAGCATTGAGCCAAGGGAAGGAAACGCCAAAAGCAGGTCCAAGCGGACATTCCCTTGTGGCTTCGACGCCTATGGAGAAGGAGAAATCGCTCAGAATATCAGCTATTTTGGAAATAACCATTGGCATCCACAACAAAACTCTGATAGACTAATTCCATATGGGCATCTTGATATTCAAGGAGGAACTTCATCGGATCAATCGAGCTCCCAAGAAAATTTCGAACCATCCCAAGTTAATATTAACATGAACCATTCAATGAAAGATGCATTAGAAAGCATCAAAAGAGTGCTCTCCCTCGGGAATTTAGATGAACAGGGATCAAAACTGCCAAATAAGCGATTACGTTCTTCTTTAACTCCATCATCAACTTATTTGGAAAACTCAGGCATATTTGTGATTCCTAATAATCCATAGCCCAGATTTCGCTGCCAAATCCTATGTCATTTTCGGAGATCCAGATTTGTTAATGTACATTTCATTCTTGAATAGTGCTACAAATCCGCAAAAGGGTTGTTTTCAACATCCACGAGTGCATGGCTGGATCCTGCTTTCCACCATAGCCCATCTAGTACTTTTTGGGCAGGTGACAGGTGGATATATATATATATATATATATATGTCATCATTGATTTTCTTTTTTTTTTTTACTTTTTTATCTTTATATTGAAAAAACGAATCTCTTGTTGTCCCGAGCAATGGCTGGGTCGATGAAGAGTGGTATGCACATACATGTATATGCATGTCTTGTATATAAATTGTATATGATGATATATGTATTTCTTCATAAACAGAATTTCAGAAATCCAAAAATCAATATTATGATTAATCAATGATTATCCATCTTGTCTGCTCTGATGAAGAGGCCATGTTTTACTTGTTCTGGGTTGAGAACATGTCAAATGTAGTGATCGAGTCGAACCACATACTAGATCTGAAAATTTGCTTGGAAGATATATTAATTACTATTAAGATGAGCAAGTTATATACGTGTTAACAAAAGCAAATCAGATGATGCCTAATATTTGTCTTCTCCAAAATATGACATGAATTATGGGATCACAATTATCAATTATTGTGGAAGTTAGCTTAAATCAATCGGTCTTTCAGTGTATGAGACATCAAAATATTTAGTTCTTGAATCCAAATTAAAGCAACAGCTCGTCCAAAACTGTTTAACATGACCTATTTGTTCTATTCTTTGGTTCTCGGAAATTATCAAAGTTTGCAGCCGAGCTGTTCCTTCTGTTGATGACATTTTGCAGAGGCTGTCACATGTTAAGTATATGATTTATTTATGCTGTATTTGGAAACTTTGATTCTTGTTTGTCACTTTATTGATAACTTCTTCTAAACATTAATGTGAATCCCATTTAAAATTTTCCCACAATGTAGGCAATTTTGTAATCAACTGCTTGGAACTTATATCCTTGCGTGAAACCATAAAGATTATGTAACTTGCTCCTGCAGTGAATTTAGAGAAATTTCTAAAATTATTATGATTTTAAAAAAAATTCTACAAAGGGGGTATTTTGTGTACTGGTTTCTGTTTTTGGGGTGTTCGCATTTAGCAAATGCGAGCTCCTTGAGCTCGCATTTGATAAATGCGAACTCTCCTTAAATTTCGTAACAGCGAAAGTAAAAAAAAAAATAAAAAAAAAAAAGCTAACCTCGCATTTCAGAAATGCGAGTTGTATGTACCTCGCATTAAACCACAAAACCTCCGTTGTCCAGTGGGCGCTGCAAGCTGCAATTTTACAGTTATGATTATTGCTAGTGATCAAGTATGCACTATGTCCTGTGGGGTTTCAAGTCCCACATCGATGTTGGGGGGGGGGTTGGGTTTGGGTTGATAAGTCCCCTGGACACCTTCAAAAGTTGCCGGCTTTTGAAGGGCTGTTTGGGGATTAGGTTTATTGACAAAAGTCTGAGTCCGCTCAGGGTTTGACAAAAAAAGTATGCACTATGTACCTATGTTGTTTGCTTTCCAATAACAGGATTCTAGATTTTGCCTAAAAATTTTTCTTTTTGCTTCAGTTGTAATGCCATTCTCTCTTGCTGTATGAATTGATTGCAAATTGTAAATGAATTCTTGATTTACAATTTGCAATGCAAATTTCTACAAATTTTACTGCTTAAGGCTCTAAATTCATCACAACTGGAAAAAAAAAATCCCATAATATTGACATCAATAGTTGATAATAATTTGGGGGAATAAATCAACACCAATCTAGCAAGCTTTTTGGTTGGACTTTATCTTGCATCCGATAAATACGAATTCCTAGAAAATTGCATAAAAATTGTAATAATTTTTAAATTACTTTTTAAATTTGTTTATTTGTTAAATTCATTCTTAATAATTTACCATAAACTCTTTGTTCTTAAAAAATATATGTAGCTGATGTTGTAAAGTGTATTAATCTAGTACGTCAACAATTTTTGCAAAGTGTATTAATATAGTAATTCAATAATTTAAGTATCTATAAACTAATTGAGAATTCGTAGTTACTCAACAACTTATATTAAAAGTAACATATTATATACCACATAAAAAAGAAAAGTTAGCAATTATTATTTATAGTGAAATAAAAAATAAGAATGAACAAGAATAGTATTTTATTATTTTGTTATTGATACTAGTAATAATTGATTAATCAATTTCTCTAATTTGCTATCATGTAGTGGAAAAGTTAAATTTCTTAAATGACATTTATAATACATTTATAAACTTGTACATAAATAAATGTATTTATGTATTGATAAAAAAACTGTAAATGTATAAATGTATTATATTATATATAATACGTAATATAAATATATTTATAAATGTATAAATTATAAATGAATATTATAAAAATCTATAAATTATAATTTATAAATATATGTTAATATTATGTATAAATGTATAATTAATATTATTTGTAATTTATAATTTTTATTGTTTAAATATTTATATACATTTATGCATTTATAGCAGCAAAACTTAACTAATGAGAGGGATTTATTCATACTCCATTTTATTTTAATAGTGAAAACGCCTTTTTACGCGAAAATCGACACTTTTAGGTGAAGATTCTCAGTTATTCAACATTTCACTTATTAAAATTGCTAAGCATACTCTTAATTTCGATACCTTTTTACGCGAATGTCGACATTTGTAGATGCCAACCCCCGGTTACTCGGTATGTGAATCATTGGAGTAGAAGATTAATATATATATTTTTTCTCTGTCTCTCTTTTTTTTTTTGAAATGATTTCTTTTCCCTCTAACATCATTAAAGGAAGAATTTGGCCTTGTTTTGACTATATCAATCACTTACTTATAAAATGAAGTGAAAATGAGAAATATCAGTAACCTTGCAAATTTGTAAGCATAATTTTTCTTATTTAACCGAATATACTTTCTAAGCATAATAATTCTTGCCAAACAAAATAAGAACTAAACCTTCCAAAATACATATAGCATTCAATCCAATGGAACAGTTTGAGCACTTAAAATGTGAACATTTTGACCATTAATATTGGAAAATATTTTTAGGAAAATTTTGACAGAGTTCCCCACAAAAATGGACAAAACTCCCTGCCAACAACCTCAAGACAATATTTCCAAATAAAAGTTTAAGCCATAGACAATCAAATTCATGCATTTTAAGACACAATCACCACAAAATGTATGTAATCCCTCCCCCACACTTAAAATCTACAATGTCCTCATTGTAGAGGAAGGTACAATAAAACAAAACTTCCCACTTGGTAAGTGGTGATGCAGTTTGAACCCCTTAATCCTCACGACCATCCAAATTCAGTCATGCTTGAAACATCAAGGGTACTAATTATCTTATAGGTAGAACAAGAAACTCCAATAAGAAAACTACAAAGTTTGAACCGAACACAATAAAAGAAAAATAAAGCATATTCAGATGGAATCCTCGGAAGGTCTTCATGACTGCGCAGAACGAGGGTCTACTGCCTCCTCAGCTCCCTGAGATGTACCACTAGGCCCCTCCTCTTGATGAGGGGTAGGAGTAGGTGAGCGGTGAATGTGGAAATGATCTTCCATCGCTCGAAGGCGACGATCCTGCCTGTCTAGTCGCTCAGTCATCATCCGCTCGGTTTGGTCAATGCGCTCCATCACACGTGTCTCCATGCAGCAGATGGCATTGAGGATCTCTTGCAACTTGGATCGCGGCGGAGGCGGTGGTCGTGGAGTGGGAGGAGGAAGGGTCTGCTGTGCCTCCGTCTCTTGAGCTTGCTCTTGTTGTTCAGTGTGAGGTGGAGGCTGAGTGGAGGTCGAAGCTTCTCCTGTGTCCCGAACTAGAGCAGCTCCAAAATCCGTAGGAATGCCTAAAGCCTTGAGTATAGAGGCATTGACCTCTTCAGCAGACCGAGTCACCACTGCTCGTTCGGTTCCAATAGGAACCTTGAGCTTCTCAAAAATGAGGGAGAGGAGCCGGGGGAACCCGAAACATGTATGACCGGCCCCCATGCGAGCTGTGGTCCTCATGTAACTGATAATGATGCTGGGCAGAGGAATTCCAGTCATATGATTACCTATACCATGCATCATTTTATCGAGGAAGTATAGGTCACTGTTGCGGAGCTCCCGTTTTCCACTCCGTTTTGGTACCATATTGAAGGCAAAAAGATAGAAAAGCAGGTGGTACCTATGCTCGAAGGAATCGGCATATACGGTGAGCTTTTTCGAACTTCCTCGCTCACGGTATTGACCCTTAAGACGTGCCACAGCTTCTCCCACTTGCCATGGGTCACGTGCCTTGAACTCCTTAGTCAATTTGATATCTTCTCCTGAGTCTTTGAGTTTGGCCCACCTGGCAACTTTGTCTCGAGTGAGAGCCACTCGTTTGCCTCGGACCCAGGATTCGATCAGATTGCCACTATGGCTATGTTTGTCTTCCACATTGGCATAAAACTCTCGGATCAGGTTAGGATAGTAATGCTTGGGCAACTTGAGTATGTCCTCCCAACCAAGTCGCTTGAAGGCAGTGGAGATCTTGTAATGGTCATCCACCTCCGGCGCCAAGTGCTTCTCAACTATTATTTCTTTGTCTAAACCGGCTTCGTACCACTGCTGATTCTCAATTGATGTGAAACGTGTGGTATCGTAGTCCGGAGGTGGTTCGTCACGACTGGTAGATGCCGTCTTACGCCTAGAACGAGGTGGGGACTGAGGAGAAGGAGATTCGTCTTCAGGCGACTCCTCTTGTAAAGAGGGTGTATGTTCCTCACTCGATGAAGGTGTAGGAGTGCGAATCACTGCCCTTCGTGTGCGAGCCATGATGTCTGGATTACAAACAAGATTCAACACAAATTAGAAGCAATACAAAACATAACAAACACAATTGTCTTAATGAGTTAAGAAAATTTCGGCAGAGTTTCCCCTTGAAAAAGGGCTAAAC